TAGTGAACTTCCCCGAACATACACTTAGATAACATAAGTAATATTGTTAGCAATACTAAAATTATACAAATATTTTCATATTTTGCTGTTATACGATGTTTTTAATTCGTTTGAATAGATAAATGTATCGTGATTATAATTAAAACAATTTTATTAAAATTATACTCTATGTACGTTATTATGTCTATAGATATTTTTATGTGAAAAATTGTTTATTATATGCTTTTGATGCCTTACGCTTCTACAATTACGCGTAAAACAGATAAGTATGAAATAGACGTTTTTAAAATGCTCATGTAAGTTCCCAAATCTACAACGAAGTATCCAGCTTGCAGCTTAATCGGAAGCTGAGTCCACATCATGATAAATACTATATTTTTTGTTACTTTTACAGGAAGATCATACCAAAAGCTATGATAAACAGACTGCGCGACTTCTTCCATCTGCGTCTTTAAATAATCGCCTACAACACTATATAACGTTAATTGCACCAGAAAGGCGCTGAGTACCAAGAAACTTTTTGACATCATACCATAGTCGCTGGTTGTTAAGGCAATGATAAACTGGAATCCTGCAAAAATACACGTAATTAATGTAAATTTTATAACATTTTATATTTTTTTTTATTAATTCATGAGCATTTTAAATTGATGCATATTTACCTATTATAATTATAAGCATACTGCTGATAAAGAGTTGTATCATCAAAACGAATCTAATTATCTCAGCAAGTTTTTTGGTCATCCTTATCAAATGATCGTGTCTCAAAATCAATGTGTTAAAACGTTCGTAGACTTTCGGACTTGTTACGTCAAAGTTAATAAAATTTGCTTTTAAAATTTCCAGTTGACCGCACACGTGTAATACAATATGAAGAAATACAGAATCACTACCTGTAAACATTATAATTAAGAATATATTATAAGAATGTACAACTATCAACTATAACAGGTATATTAAAATTTTAGAAATATTTATGAAAACTATATTTGCAAAATTTAATATTTTATTAAACTGGACGTAGAAATTTATTTCATATGCATTTAACAAATGAACAAAGTTAAATGATTAAAAATGGTTTTATTGTATAATCAGAAATGTAAAAAATAATTATATGGCAGTGTTACGTCCAAGCTCCGGAAAAGTGGATTTAGAGAGAGAGGGAAGAGAGTAGAAAAGGATGGAGCGTGGAAGGACGGTCAGACTCTAGTCTCGCAGGTATTTGCCTGGAAACAAACACCGGCGAGTCGAACGCACCCTTTTTTTTGTCCGCTTCGGAATATGGGTCAACGTCTCGTGAAGACGCTATGACGCCTGTTTCCTACGGGCGGTGCGATCGTCGGTCCGAATTTCGAGTCAAGGAAAAATCCCTTTAACTCGGGAATGGACCACGTGCAATCTTTGAAAGGGCAAGGTTTAGTGTTTACGAGGTCGTTGTATTATTAGGTGGGTTTTAAAAATAGAAGACGAGAGCGAGACAAATGATTAGTAACATTATTTATTGTAGCTAATTAA